AAAAAAAAAAGGAAATGTTTAGACGTGGAGGAATTGGCTTTGTGACATTCTCAGACCAAAGCACTTCTCTTGCTCTCTTTTGAAATAAAATAAGCTTTAAAAGAATTTTGCAAAGAGTGATTAAGAAAACTCTTTTTGCTGGTCTAAAAGATGATGCTAATTGTTTAAATTTTGTTTTTATAAATAATTTTATATAAAGTTCTCTGATGAGAATATAGACACAAGATTCTTTATAGATTCTGTGTGCACGGTTTATAATTAATCTATAAACCACATTTGGAAAGCCTCTTTCTATATCCAGGGTGCTGAAATGGTTCCTCTAATAAACATTGTCTTGTAGTGCATATAATCTACATCTTGATCATATTACAAGAACTTTAGAATGTGGTATATTTGAAGCCTAATAATGGAAAACTATTTTTAAATATTGAGAAAATTTGTTTTCAGATAATCTATATTGATTTCATCAGAAAATTGCAGAGTTTATATATAATGAGTTTATCTTATGAGTAAAACACATATTAGGGACTAAGTTATGGCACAGAATTAAGAACATTTTTAGCTACAGACTATAGTCTGTATGATGTGTTATAAAGCCTGAAGGGAAAGTCAGCACAGAAGAGATTTCTCATAAACATCACTAGATTTAATTTATAGGTGTTGATAACCCTTGGGGAAACTGCAAGTATAATTGGGTGGGATGTATGGCTTTTGAAGAAAGCTATGCTGGCATGCCACATGTCTCAAGGGAGACTGTTAAAAATACTGACAAGTATGACAAATCCAAGAAGATTATTATCTTCAAATAATTTGTCTTAGCTGTTACAAAAACAGCAGATAAAATTGAGATTTTTATCTTAAGTTTTAACCGCTATAGCCACAACAGAGACATGAGTATTCAGAGATCGCATAAATCACTTCTTGTTTTAAATATCCCAATCCTTGAGTGGGAAATTAAGTTGGCATAGTCATTCTTTTTTAAATGAGCCTATTTACAAAAGAGTGAATTTCAAAAATGTGATACAGAAACAAAAACGAAATAATTGAATTGCAACTACGTTAAGAAAGATAACTATGAATGCTAAACAAACAAACAACAAAAACTCAAATGAACTGCAGGATTACAGGTAGGTCAAGTTCATCATACGGAGAAACTGAATATTCAGAGAACTGTTCTAATGGATGTATGGCATATCAGAGATAAGTGCAGTGTTTATATTGGAGTTGAAAGAGGCTTTAGAATAAGGATGAGGTATTAGGAAGGAAAAATTTTCTAATAAATGAGAAGTAGTTGGAAATGATGAACTAATTTCTTCAGAAAGATGACATGGACATTTATAAGGAAAAAATTTAATGCTGATTCTGTTGAGTTACTTGAAGACCAAGGGACTTAAACATTTCTTAAAGGTTTTCTAATTAATGCCCACTTAAAAATTCTTTTCTGAAAGAGGAAAAGTTCAGACATTTTTCTATCTCTACTCCTAAACACTTCTTTCATACAAATAGTTAAAATAATGACAAACTATCGCTGTTTATCAAACGAATGCTATGTCCTAGGGGTTATGCTGTGTTCTGTCTTATAAAACTGCTAGAATTAATAGGATATAAGAATTTCCCTTCCCCTTTATCTTTAGATTTAAAAGACAAGAAGGAAAAGGTGACACAAGTAATAGATAGGCAAGATTTGGACCTGGTCTATTTCACAGCCCTGCTTTTAACCACATCTCATTAGCTTTCCATCAGAAACAGAGGTAAAAAGATGTAGATCTTGAAATCACATTGTGCTTAAACTAAAGCCTTATATTTACCAAAGTAATAATTAAACTCTATCGCTTACCATATGTTTAAAAATATGTTGGCAAACACTTACATAAAAATCAATTACCCTCTTTTATCCATGTAAAAGCTCTCAGGTTCAAGATACCAATGGTTTGGCTGTTACTGGAAATGAATCACTATTTTTCATCATAAATACAGGTGGAAGTCTAAGATCTTACCAGTTTTGAGACAGCTATGCTAAGAGTTATGATTTTCATATTATATATGATTGCTGGGACCTAGAACATTGTGATAAACTGGTAAGCAATACCATTCAAATTATTTGCTAGAAGTTAAGGATTTTATTAGTAGTCATTTAATTTTGTTCTTTTAATCAGAAAAAGATGACAATACTTCATGTTGGCTTTAGTTTTTAAAATATGGCCAATAATATAAAAAATAAAACTCAAAAAAGAAGAAATAGAAAAAGTTTGTAAACATATGAAGAATTTGGTTAAATTAAAATAATAATATATTTCATCTCCATAATTTGGCAAATATAGAATAATATATAAATATACAATAAAAATGATGAATATGAACACATTTATATACAGCTGCAGAATATATAAATGGGGAAAATGTTTCTAGCAGGTAATTTGCCAATATGTATCAAAAACTTTAAATGTAAACATTCTTTAAACAATAATTTCACTAGTAGGATGATACCTTATAGGAACCATAGCCAAAAGGATCTCTACAATAGTGTCAAAATAACAAAGAAAAATAATATGAATGTTAAATAATAGGAAACTGATTAAAGTACATCATTGTAAATAAATAAAATGCAATATTATAGAGTCATTAAAATGATTGCAGGAATGATTAAAGGCTTAATGGCATGGAGATACGTTTACTACTTAATTAAAAAATCAATACACAGAGTTTCCATTTTGTTATTAAAGCTATAAATGTGTAGGAAAAAATTAAGACACATCAAGATGACAATTGTTCTTATCTTTCCATAAGGGCATTATAATTCACTTAATTTCTTTTTGCTAATTAACACTGGTTCATTAGGTCTGAATTTTATTTTGTAACAAAAAAATAAAAATGCACTGTAAAATACAGTAGATGTTGATATAATAGTTTAACTTGATCCCAGGAAAGTAATTGAATTGGGTTTGCCTGTTTTTTGCCACAGCATCGGGCTATTCTTTAAATGTTTTTATCTCATAATCAAGAGGCAGCCTGCTGTGTCCACACCAACTATCACCACATGTCCTTCCAGAAGATGAAAGTCCATGGCCGGACGCCCTAAGACTCATTCTGGGTGAGTAAATGACTTTTAAGAGTAATTATATAAACAAGATTAAAAAAAAGTTACGATATTGCAGCTAATATCAAAAGAAGGTCAAAGGAAGAACAAGGAAAAACGTATTTTACTCACGGAGACTTTGTCCTTTGCCTGTTTAAATACACTGGGAGCCAGGGCGGATTCCCCACCTGCTGCTGTTGAAAAGAAAAGACACAGACAACCCTAAACTTAGCGGTTAAGGTGTATTTTTCAGTACTTTGGGGGCATTCTGTCATGTGAACAGACTAACGCAAAGCAAAAGTTTGCTTATTTTGAGACTCGAATTCAGTAACTGAAGATACCGAGTAACAAAGCCTGTGGCTCCAGGTCTGAATTAGCATAATCTAGTGTTTCTCCAAGAGCGGGTAAGCACACTAAATAATTTCCTATCGGTTACCAACACACCTTTGAATCATTAGCGTATGAGGACAGACCCTTCAGAACAGAAGCTATAAAATAGCAATTTGGATGCTGCAAAATTTAAAGAGAAGAGTGTTGCTTGGTTTCTAGGGTTGGCATGGTACAGAAGAGTGCTGGTTCTAAGGGCTTTCTAAACTCCCTTCTTGTTCTGGAAGCCACTGGCACACCTGCAGATAGTTCTGCATTTTATGTTCCAAACTGTCATGATCAGCCAACCCTTTCCCTCTGTACTCCTTCCTTTCACCATATAAATGACACGTTTGTTTGATGTGAAAATGCATCACACGAGCAGGGAAACAAAAAAGCTTGTCAAGGGCAGAAAAGACGAGAGAAATTTTTAAGTTCAGAGACTATATAACATGTTCTACACATGCACTTCCTCTAAGAAATTATTACCACATCTGTTACTGTTGTTTATCTTGCTGCTATTTTAGGCTTCTGGTTTCAATTTTGAGCTCTATTATCTCTTCCATATTTTCTGTTCATGCTTATCTGACTTGACTTAAATATCTCTTACAACTCAAAGCGTTTCTGTTTGGGAAAACCATCCGTGTTTGAAAACCGTGCTTAGAAAAGAAAATGTGTTTACTTTCTCTTTAACTTTTTTTCATAAAATAAAAATCCTCAGAAAAAATACATATCCTGGGAAGCCCTTCATATGAGTTCAGGAAAGATTCTTCTGCCGTATACAGTCCTAACACAGAAATAATAACTGTCTACAATATGCTTTATGCTACGGAGGGCTAGCTAGTCTAATTACTCATAGGTTCTAGAACTGACTGTTTTTTTGAAGAAGCAGTGCGAATGATGTCTTCCTACTGACTCTTTTATCACATCTCAAATTCTTGTGAAATATAGCTCACTTCAAACCAATGCTATCTACGTTTGATATATGCTTTCGATCAGAGGACCTTAATGTTTGACAAAAATAAAGGAAGATCTTAATTATTCCAAAGATCTTCAATTTCCTTTAAAAATGGACCAAAAAGGCAATCAATTTACTTTCGGGGTGGTAAATTAAATGCCAATGACATGTAAAGACTTTATTAAACCATTTCACATTTTCTCTAAAATTCCACCATTCCGATGACATTTTTTTCATCCTTGCAGGTAGCTTATAGGATTTTTACATCAATCCAAGAGATTCTGCTTGCACAAGCATCTGTCTAACTAGAAGGAAAAAATCCAAGGTGAATGAGGCCTAAAATCTGAAGCAATGAACTAAGGTATAAGATTTAGAAATGATGTGTTGATTCCTGACTCTAACTCAGAAGCTTTCCTCATCTCACACCTCTGTCAATGTTTGTGTATATATAGGTTTCCATGTTCAAATCCTGCCTCAGATCTTAAAGGAAAGCACAGAATATGATTCCTATATGAAGAACACAAATGCAAGATACTTGGAATTTGGTACTTGTCCCCAAACCATTAATTACCTTGATTTTCTATTTTTCCATAGACTAATGCTGCTCTTAACCTTTAAAATCATCCAGATTTATATAGACACTTACATATAATGGAAAGAAAAATATTCCTTTCTGATTTGTCAATCTTATATTTTGTAGACTACAAGTGTGCCACTTAATAAACACTAAAAAATTGTAAATTAATACCACCCTAGTATATGTATAAAATAAATACTTCACATTAAAATTTAGAAATAAAATTTGAATTACAGATCTTTGCATGCATTTTTATGATGATTTCTAATACATTTTATTCCTTTGATGTACCCCCCCTTTTTAAACTTAGTAAACATTTGTATTTGGAGAAAACAAAAAAAATAAGCAATTAGCAAAATAGAAATAAACCCATGTTTATTTCTAACTTAAATTCCTCTTAAGGAGGAACTGTTATCTCAGAATTTTCAACACTGAATTTTCTGGGAAAATTTAGTAATATGGATCCAACATATTTAAGAAAATCTTGATGAAAGAATATCAGCTAAGAGATGTACCTCAGTAGACTGAAAGAAAACCTTGCTAATTTTGGAGATGAGGAATCAGATCTGACGGGATTACCAGACAAGCTTATTTTCCGTTTTTTTTTTTTTTTTTGTTCACCAAAATCAAAGTAATTTAGCAAACCACCATGTTACCCTGGGTTTGCTTCTCATTTTCAGTGTCTGAATCACTGTACATTCTTGGTAGTTTTCAGTAAATTCATCAACATCAGTAACAGATTTGGCAGTAACAATGTCGAAAATAGGACAAATATGTATGGGCTTAAGCATGAGAGAGATAAATAAGCAAAATAATGAGAATGCATACCACGGTTAAATTCATCGCCATCCTCTAACCAAACACATACAATGAAAATAGGAATCGCCAGAACGTGACACTAGAGCACAATGCCAAGATACAATCACGCACTGTTATGTCTGAGCATGACAAAGAAATAGATGGTCATGACCTCTTCTGCAAGGAAGGGAAAAAAAAAAGAATAATGATACAAGACACTTAATAGTAAACTTGTTCATGACTGCTGAGATTCTTGGAAGAAAAACAAAATGAGAAGCTGCTACAGTAATGAGATTAAAAAAAAAAATACACGTCTATGTTTGCCAGTCACATTGCAGAATTGAACAGTCACCTGTGGTTTTCCGCTTAACACAGGAGAGATGAGTTGGTCTAGTATATTTGATAGCAGGTTTTAAAATGAATTTCCTGGAGGGAGAGTGGGCCTGAACTTCTGTTTTTTTAGCAAGTTCAGCTTTCTTATAAACTGCTATGAATAAGAAAACACAGAAAGCATACCATCAGGAAAAAATGAACACATGGAGCCCAAACCAAACGAAATTTCACAAATAATTACCACTGTTAGGCAGTTCCCCTACAAAAGAGTAATAATGAATAACTTCAAAAGCATTATTAAAGAAGTGATTGTTAAATGAACCTTTTTTCCTTCTCACTTCATCTCTGGAGACTGTGCTAGGTTCCTTTTTAGCTATTTTTCTTTCAGGAGTGGAAATTCTGCCTCTCCCGGTTTTAAAAGGCTTTTCTTTTCTATGTTTCTCCAGAGAGGGTCTCCGAGCTTCCTTTTCAGCTTTCTCCTCTTTAGGGATAGTTTCTAACTGCTCTGTCATGATGCTCCGATCATCATCTGCGGATCAAAGCAAATCATGACAACAATAACAATGAAACATTAGTAACACAGGTACAAAGTCCTTCGGATCTTTAACAAAATGCAAAGTAAAGAGATCAAGGGACAGTTTTAAAAGTTTAAAGTGGAAAAAAACAATCCCCATTAGGTTACTGGGTTTGATTTGGGAGTAGACAATTAAAAAAAAAAAGGGGGGGGATGCAGACCTTGAGTGTCCACCCAGAGGCTGTCAGCGTCCATGATGGAGTCGTCGATGGTGGTCTCATCTTTGTAATCATCATAGGTTTCTGTCTTATATTCGGAGAGGGCAACCTCTTCTCTCTCCGGGGAAGCAGGAGCCTCTGGGGAACCATCCTTGGGTTCTGCCTGGGCTTCAGCTGCCTCTTCTACTTCCAGCTCCTCTTCGACGTGAGGGGACGGTCTCCGTTCCAAGTCAGGCTGCTCCAGGGCCGCGAAACGCACACTGTGGGAGCCCGACTCCCCTTCATCAGTTGTGGTTTGCACTACAGTGATGAAATCGTCCTCGATGGTCACCACGGACTCGATCACTCCCTTGTGTTCACCTGGGCAGGTCTCCACAAATTCCTGCCTGGCACCAGGGACCCCCAGGTCGGTAATCTGAAGGGTGTCTGAGCGGAAGAGTAGTTTATCATATTCTCCCCGGGCTTCTATCTCTTCTTCCTCACTCGGAGCCTCTGCGGGTTCAGACACGACTGGCCCCAGCAATGGCTCCATAACATCAGAGGGAGTGATAGATATATCTGGGGTTTCTTTGCTTTCATCTTTTGACAGTTGAATAAATTCCATCTGGACGTCAGCTTTCTCATCAGTGACTAAATCAGCCTCTGAGACGGCAGGTGGGCAAGGTATCTCCACTGACAGTTTGATGGCGATCTCATCTTGAATCAGAGACGATTCTGGAGAGATTTCCTTCTTGCCCTCATCAGGTTTCAAGGACTCCATGGTGAGGCTTTCGTGCTCGCCACTAGACTCATAGGACTCCTCCTTGTCCACAGCCTCCTGGTGCACCAGGTCGGGTTTGGCCACCTTCTCTTTGACTTCTGTTTCAGTGACCTTGGCACCTTCTTTCAGGTGGCCAGATTCAAGACCCATAAAGGAATCTGCATCCTGAGGCACTTTGGATGAAGGGGTCAGGTCCTGTGTGGCCTCGAGTGTAAACTCGGTTGCCTTTTCAGCCTCTATGTGTAGCCCCGAAGCCATCTGCCCAAAGTCACTAATTTTGACATCTAATGGACCCTGGGTAGCTTTCTTGGCAGCAAAATCCAGTCCTTGTTCAGCTTTTTGGGATGGTTCTACCTCAGCTACCTCTGGCACTACACTAAGACCTTTCTCCGCTTTCTCGGATGATGCATCTTTTGCGAGTGTCAGGTCTTTGGCTGAAGCTTGTTCATAGGTTACTCCTAATCCAAATGTGTCCACTTGGTCGACAGCTGCTTCTGTTTTCTTGCCATGTTCTTTGGAATCAGCATGCTCTTCACTCTTTTCTGGTACAGTATCCAGCTTGTCATTCACTTTCCTCTCTTGGTCAAACTCTCTGCCCAGACCCGTTTTGTCACCAGAGAGATGCAGAGATGCATCTTTGTCACCACTGAACTCATCTTTAACTCTGCCAGCAGCTGCCAGTTTTACTTCAATCAGCGAAAGGTCTGTGGCCAAATCTCTTCGAGCCTTATCATCAGTGCCTTCATAAAAGGAGCCACTGTCGCCGGACAAATTTTCACTGTCTTGAACAGGGGATGGGAGTGGGACTGTGTATTTATTGAACACACAGTAGCCCAAGTCTTCAAGCTGACTGTCCGTTTTTACAGCAATGTGATTTTCATCAGTTACGGGCGGCAAACCAGTACTACTCTCCTCAATCACAGTCTCTGAAGGAACTGATTTTCTCCTGGCAACCTCGGCATCTGCACTCACAGATGCTAATCTTGACCTTGTGCCTGCCAGGTCTAGCATTTCAGGGAGGTCAGGGGCCATGACAGTACCATTTTTGTAATAATCTTTGGCTAGGAATGGTGACTCACACGTTGTCTCCACTTGAGTAGTTTCTTCTCCAGTAGCTTTTACTTTTTCTATTTGTTCTTCCTCTTTGCTTTCTATTGGGAAGCAAGGGCCTTTCTCCACTGCGGGTGTGGTGGCTGGAAGGTAATCGTCTCCTTCATCCATACTTCCACTAGTATTGGTTAGAATATCAGAAGCTAGAGGAGAAAGATCATGACCCCGACCAAAGTTGAATCCAAGGGCTATAGAATCCAGGCAAGACATGGGCAAATTGATTGACATGCTTCTTTGTTCTATTGCAGACCTACCACCAAGTCCTAAACTCCTGCTAAGTGTCAAGTCATCCTTATTCTTACTGTGGAGATCTCTCTTCTCCCCATACACTTTTGGATCGATGGTGAACATTCTCTCTTGAGGAGAACTGGGTTCTTCGGGTAAATCAGGGGGATAACTCTGTGCAAGAGTGCTGTACCCTGCTTCTTGTGCTGGAGGGCTGGGCTGGGGTTCTTTCCCTGCCTGAAATCCCTGGTCACCATCTTCACGCCCAGGGGATATGGTATCAATAGACTCAGGGGCACTTTCTCTAGTGTCACTCAGTTCATAGTAATCACTGCCCAGCTGAATGCTTTTTGTTACTTCTTCTTTCAAGGCAGATGTTTCAAAGTACTTGGACATTCCTGACTTATCTTCATAAAACGGCATGTCGAGGTCAGCTGCTGTTGCTGCACCGACTCCTTCAACCCGGGTATCTTTGTCAGCAACTTTCTCTTCAAAAAGTCCCTGGGTTGCACTCTTTTCACTTAGTGCAGCTGGTTCTGTCATGACTTTCTCCAGTGCCTTTGGGGTCATGGCTGAATCTGTAACTGCTTGCTCCAAACTTACAGGGAATGTGTCTTGTTTTAATGTATCTATGGGCGGCTCTGGGCCTTTCTGTTCTTTTGAGTAAGCATGCTCTGTGGAGGTCTGAATTACGCCTGTTTCTTCATCTGCCAATTTTAGGGGTCTGCTCTCTTTTGGCATAGCTTCTTGGTCAGAAAGGGTTGCTTTTTCTTCAAGCTTCAGCTGAGGTTCCTTTTCGGTGGGTGTAGGTTCCAGTCCGCTGGCAATGAAAGTATCTTTTTTCTGCACACTCTCTTGACTTATGGCCCCTGTTTCCTCCCTTAAAACTTTCTCCATAACACTTTCTTCTACAACTGGAACGTGAGCATCTTTGGGTAAAGCAATTGCCTCCGAGGCTGGTGCTTCAGCCATTCTATCTTTATGGGGCTCTTCGACTTCAGAACTATCTTTGGCAGTAGCTGGGCCACTGGTTTCTTGCACAGATTTTTTGTCATCTGGCTGTAAAAAGGCAGGGACAAAGGGTGATGCTTCGGTAACTACTTCATTCTTTATGACATCAAAAGGAAGAGTGAAGCTTCCTCCTTGAAAGGGACTCGGCATGGGAGAATCAAATTGTTTGCCTTCCCATTTGGGGAGATCCTCAAATACGTCTTTTGCCCTCATGGGTGTCAGGGGGCCAGGAGATATTGGAGCAACTAACCCCCACTCATCCTTTCTTGCTTCCGTTGGCATTTCGATGAACCAGTCCTTGTGTTCTTTTGGAGTGGGAGGCTGTGCAGGAAGGTCAATGCCAGGCACTACCAGGCTTGGTTCTGTCTTCTGTGTCATGTCTTCCAGGCTGGCAATGAGAGTGTGCCCGAACAAAGTGGGAGGTGCCTTTTCTTCTTCCATGCCTTGCACATCCTTTTCATCAGGATAAGCTATAGCCGTCTCTAGCCGAGAGTCTAAGGCAGCGTGTTTAGGGTCTTCACCAGGCTTACTTTGTTTCTCTGACTCTGTTTCCTTCTGGTCTAAAAGGTCAGCTGTAGAGGGTGTCAATTCCTGCTGATCTTGGAACTCCATCTTCGAGGCTGTAAGTAAATCTGAAGTAACCGGGTTGATTTTTAAACAAATAGTAGGCAAATGCTTTCAGGCAATAAGCTTAAAATTATATATCTGAAATGATAAATGAATGATAGGGTAAAAAGAAAAACTATGGAACATGCAAGCATGCAGCCCATTTAAAAATCAATATGAAAATGGCAAGACTGAGAGACATATGTATTATTACTAAAATGAACTCTGGTTTTAAATTAATGTGCATGGGAATTGTAAGAAACGTATACTTCTGGATACTCTTTTGTTCTTCTTTTGTTTGGTCTTTTCTCAACATTAAATAATGTGTCTTATAGTAGAAAAAAATTTACATTTATTGCTAGCGAATTATTTCCATTAATGAATATTATGTAAGTAACTAACATTAGGGGGTACAAAAAATATATGTCAAGGACTAAATATAGATAAGGATTGATTTCTTCTAAATTTTCTCATTAGTTTTATCATTTGAAAATGAATTAGCAGGCCAGAAGACAAATCATAATGATTTAGTATCAGGAGTTTCAATTAACTTGAGTGACAAATGCTAGGACCAATTTGGGGAGCAGCCAAAGGTTACTGGTATAAATTTTTAGAATTCATCTGAGATTAAATTTCAGGAACACGAGTAAATATTTGCCACCAATTTTATATGCTATGATCTAAGAGTTGGCAAGCCAATTTCATGTATTTAAAAATTTTAATTCCTAATAATTACTTCATCTGTATGAAAGATATAAGAAAATTTGAATCCCACCGTTGACATAGAGAGGCATGGGAGTAACACTATTTTCAAAAGAGCCAACTATTAAAATAATTTTCTTCTGCTCATGACCTCATTCTCTGCAACATGACCAAATGGTGAAGCATTGACCAATATTGGTTTTAAAGATGCTTCTCAGAAATTAAATAACACACTTTTATTTTTATTTATTCTCCAATCCAAAAGACTTTAGAGTCCCACTTATGTTTTAAAGTCAAAGGTGTTTCACTGTAGTCATTCGAGCTAAATGTGGTTATCTGGAAAAGATCTGGGGAAATATAATTCCACCATGTGTCAAAGATCAAGTGTACCTGGATCATCATTATGTTACATACTTGTGTGTCCTGTGGTAACAAGAAAAAAAAATACTTTATGAACTTCTAATAAAGGTTAGATGAATGAAAAATCAAAAGATATGCGGATGACCAAAGGGGTCGGCTGCCATGGAGAGAAAATGACATGAGAAGCATCAGCTGGCACTCTCGGAGAAACCAAACCAGTATTCATCGAAGCGTAAAAGTATACAGCACACTGCGGTTGCAAACAAAAATGATTCTACCATTTAAGCTTCTATGGGCCAAAATCCATCCACACAATTTGAAATAAAAGCATATGAATTGCTGTCCCCAAAATAAAAACAAAAATATACATGTATTAGCAATGTGACTGGCAAACATTTGAGATGAGGGGGCGGGTAAAAAGAAAGAAAAAAAGATTAAAAAAAAAAAAAAAAGCTCACATAGCATTATCAGCCTGGCTGCAAAGCGTATTGTATCATGGCAAAGGAAAACCAGGAATCAGCTGCAGCTGCGGAAACCAAGCTGCCAGGCACCACCTGCGCAAGCCACACTCTGCTCATTAGATTTGAAACAGCGGTCTTGTTATCATGAGAAGACCCAGCGATGAAACAGCGGTGAGAGGCATCGGCCTGGTGAGCCGCTGGACACACCATTGGCAACAAACACATGCACATCCTGAGAAGGACACACCTTCCCCCGCAGAGGAAGGGGTTTTTACAGCTGGAGACACCTCCTTGCCCTCTTTGACACCTTTCTCAGGGGACGCCCCGGGGGCGCTCTCTTCGGGAACTAGCTGGGCCTCTGCACTGAGGCCCTGGGGGCGGCCTGCGGACTGAGCAGCCCCACACTCCTTCCCAGGGAGAGCGCCAGGTCTCGCTTCCTCAGCCTTCCGACTCTCTAGAGTTTCTTCTTAGGAATGAGAAAGATGTTGACATCATGACCACAGAACAGATAGAGCGACAGAAACATTATTCACGGAACACTTTCAGCTCCATTAGAATGATGAGGGAGGACCTGGGCGGGGCGGGGGGGGGGGTGTTCTTTGACCGTTGGATGAGCAAATTCATATAATGCAACACACAGCATATATGGGTTAGTTATCAGGTATAATCGGCTAATAGTGATGACTTTGAAAGTCTCATTAAAAGCCTATTTGTTTTTAAAATATGAGAGCTGAAAGGGTTTTATTGATGGATTACTCTTAGTGGAAATGGCAGCCAGTTATCGCATGGAAATAAGAGATGATGCTGCCGGAGTGACAGACGGTGGTGAAAAGATGAATGTGTTAATGTGCTGGGGGGAGAAAAAAGAAAACTTTAAAATCTGTTAGACCTGTGCTGTTTTCTCCAATGCAGGAAGCCCCTACATAAGAATTCCCGACTGCTTTATTTAAAATGTACAAAATTTGCTAAAAAAAAATTGGGGAATAAAGAAAAAGCCTTCCCTGAAAATAATACCCAACCAACCACCTGAACATCTTTATGACAAAGTGAATAGAAAATTTATTTAGTATTTACAAGGTAAAGGACTACCTAAGTTAATTAACGTTACCCTTGTTGCATTAGATGGTGTTGGAAGAAATGAAAAAATTTAAGGCGTAAGTAAAATGCTTTGAAAAAACGAGATCAAAGTACAATCTAAATCATTCTCTTTGTAAAAGTCTACGTTGGGGACCCAACTGTTATATATTTTTTAACTCCCTGAAATATCGGTAATGGAGGACACTAAGAAAGAATGTGCACACTGGCAATAAAATCTTATTTCTGCAATTCGAAACAAAATCACCAAGGAAAATTAATTGAGTGGCAACTTAACTCCTAAAACACCCCCCAAAAGATGTGTATCACATGGAAAAGAGTTACATTTAAATTATGAAAAGCAGATGTATGAAGTTTATGAATTATCATGTTCATTTGTTTTCAATTTATACTACAAATGCCAGTAAAAAAAAATCTCATTTCATCCCTTTAAGAAATTAGAAGGAAATATATAAGCTATTTTAGAGTTTGTAAATGGAAGATTCTGATGAAAGTGCTGTGAAACAATTGTACATTATGTAAAGAGCCCTGCGGGAAAGACTACAGATAGAAAAGAAAGGAATTTTCTTTTCTAGAGAAATATTAACACCCTTCGGGGAGAAAAAGAGAGAGAAAACTACTTCATCTGTCTCCTCACATTTGGTGCTCAGAGGCACTTTCATTTTGTAATTTAATTATGTAAGTAGCATTTACCAATTCAGACTGTAAGTTGTTATTGTAAGTAAATTTTTATGATGCCATAGATTTTGATGAAAATTAAAAGACTTTTCATACAGCACCTTTGCCTTTATGGTACTGGATGAAGTCTAATCAAGTCGATTGACATATTTTCAATTCTATGTAACTTTTTTTTTTTTTTTTGCAGTTTTTGGCCAGGGCTGAGTTTGAACCTGCCACCTCCGGCTTATGGGGCCAATGCCCTAACTCCTTTGAGCCACAGGCACTGCCACAATTCTATGCAACTTTTTAGGTTTCCATTTGCTTGTTTTGTACAAATCATGTTTATTTCAGCCATATTTGTTTATTATTCAAAACTTAACATCAGGGGTCCTCAAACTTTTTAAACAGAGGGCCAGTTCACTGTCCCTCAGACCATTGGAGGGCTGGACTGCGGGCCCCGGGACGAGTCGGCTGCTAAGCATTTATCCGGCGGGCGGCAAAATTATCCGGCGGGCCAGATAAATGTCCTAAGCAGGCTGCATGTGGCCTGCGGGCCATAGTTTGAGGATGCCTACTTAACGTTAATTTTAAAAATTGTTTGAAGTTCACCTTATTAAAATAAATTCATTTCACTTAATATGGGTAATATTTCTTGATCAGGGTGTCTGAATTATTGGTGCTCTTTGTTTTCACAATGACCTTGGAAGAAGCTTATTACCATGCTTGTAGTTAGTGAGCTGTGAGCTTATTTTTCACTGCCTTGGAACTAACTCACCTCACATTAAATATTGGCCCATACGAACATGAACTGTTCACCTAAGAAAAGTAGATCTAGCTGTACTTCCCCTCCCCCTTTACAAAGCTACCTAGATAGGATGAGACAGAAAGGACCCCATCAATTCCTTATTTTATCCTCACTATGCCCAACTGTACACTAGTATCCCAGCCTTAGGGGGCTAGAATGATGAAGGATTTGAATCATTTCCTTCATTTTAACCCAGCTCCACTAACGTGAGCCAAGATTTAGTCACCTAGGAAGCCTCTGTGGTTTCCGTAGATGATTAATTAAATGATATGGGGAAATCAATTTGTTTTACAACACTTTTTCAGCTCTAAAGATTCTTCAATCTTTCTTTTTAAAAGAGCTATCATGAACTAATAAGAAAGGCTAATGCAATTTAAGGCTGGTCGTAGAAATATTATGCATATAAGGAGGAAAAGAAATGGTATTTAGGGACATCTTCTTTGGTTTGGGTAAGAATATGTTCTTCCCCAACTGATTTAATTGGCAGGGAGGAGAATGGAGTCATGCTATAATTGAACTTTTTTGCTTCTCTCTCTCTGTCTTTCTCAGAAGCAATGATATAGAAAAAGGAATATGCTTCAAGGAACATGCTTCAAGTAAGGAATCTTTTGTATAAATTGTTGAGGCATTTGGATGGATACCACTTAGGTAGAGACTTCACTTCCATGTGGAGAAAACAGGCTCCTTCCCTCCCACCCCATAGGAAGGCACACTTAACATGGTGATGTGGTCCAAGCTACAAGCCGGGGAGGAGGAGCCCAAGGGGACCATGCTCGGTTCACCTTTCTCCTGGCCTAAGAGGGCCTCTGCACTCTGCGCCGAGACACTGGGGAGCACACTAGAGGTTGTCCATTCTGAGCTGAACAAAGGGTGCTCATAGTACTCCTCCTCGGAGTTGTAAGGGTCATCATCAGGCACAGACACCGAGATGGAGGGGGCTAGG